GTTTGCTTAAAAAAAACTACAAGAAACATTCTTGAAAGGCTTGTGTCCAGTAGCTTAGAGCAAATGAATTCACACCATGTAAAGATGGTACATAAATATGGAATGGGGAAACCATGAGGAGTTGGACTTAACTAGAATTATCAGCATGAGCTTATGATTTAGGAGATGTATTCATTGCTGGCTTTGTACCCATAACAATATAAATAACATGTAAACATAAAGACTTTGGAAGCTGGGACTGGAGAGATGGCTCAGCAGTTAAGAACACTGAATGTTCTTGCAGAAGACCCGGGTTCAGATCCCAGCATCCACATGGCAGCTAACAACTGTCCATAACTGTAGTTGTAGGGGATCCAATGCCCTCTTCTGACCTCTGCGGGCACTGCATGACACGGGTGCACTTCCATACATGCAGGCAATACATGCATGCACATAAAATAAAAATAAAATATTTTTAAAAAGACTTTGAAAGTTACTACATACAAGTCATATTATTTGATCAACTGAAATTAAAGGTTAAAGTTCTGCATGACAGTGAACAGTCTCACAAGCTGATATCCAAATACCCTCGATTGTTGAATAATGCATTTTTGTTGCTTTTTTGAAATAATATAGTTGTAGCTGATTTGAAAATCTGAATTCAAATCGATGATCATTCACCTTGAGGTAGTGGTGCTCTCCTTTTCAAATTCTTAGTACAAAGCGATTTCCTAATAATATTTTGCTTTGATGGAATTATCCATTTGAAAGAGCTGAGACTTGTCTCACAAAACATCTCATCTGTGTCATGTCTTCATGTGCAGACCCAGGTTTAACAATTTTAGAAAGAATTCTACACAGTGCCATGTTCATCCCATTATGCCACATCAGGGTGTGTTCTACTAGTATGCTACTTGTGTGGTTTTACAGCCTGGCTCAGGTGATGTCTGCCTTTTCATTTTACAGGCATGCCTTTCTCATTGCTGCTAATATATAACTTATGAGATGGCATTTTGATGCAGAATTATGTCAACCTACTTTTATCCATGAGTTCTAGCATTCTTTGGTGATTTTATCTGAATCAAACTGGAGATTAGAAAATATGTTTGTCCATGTGTTTTCTGGAATTCTTCTGTAAACAAAAGATGCTCCCTCTTTTAGTACTGCTACAGAGTTGTGGGTGTTTTCAATTCAATGTGCTTCAGTCAGTCGTATGTGACTTTGAATTCCTGTATTCCACCTCTCATGCTTGCTGCTTCACTGTTTGATCTGTATTTGTTATTCTCTCGGCATTTCCTCTGCTGCTGGAGATGAGACACTCTAAGTTCAGTTTTCTGTCATCCATCTATGATCTGGAACCAGCCACTTCTCCAGGAAATATTGCTTCCATCCAGTGGAAATTCAAAGCTGAGATTTTTCTTCTTCCTAGTGTGTTCATTGCCTCTGGGTCATGTTGCTTTGCACCCCCGAGGAATAGATCTTGAATTACACATATCTTTGAAACCGTGAATTCATGATAACTCTATGTCCTATTTACACCTTAGAGTTCATCTTCATTTTCTTCATTTCATAGTTACACCTTGCTTCTCCCACATGAACTCTGAATCCAGTATCACTCTATTTATCCATTTGCTCTAATCTACAATATAAAAAATTTAATATCAACAAGCCTGCTAATATTTGTGATAATCTTGTTTTTCCTTTTTTATCCTGAGAACATATCTAAAAATTGTATTAGCTACTTTTCTTGTCATTGTGACTAAATATCACGCAAAAGAAAGTCTGGTACACAGAGTGTGAGGCAGCTGATCACAACCGTGTGTAGAGTCAGCAAACAGAAAATGATGAGTACTGGTGGATGTTTCTTCCTCTTCTTTTCTCTTTTTGTTCTTTTGTTTACAGAATACATGTAAAAAGAATAATGAACTTAGAAAATGATAATTTTGCAACCTTTAATGTGATCAGTATTAAAACTGTGACCTCAGTGCATGCAATGGACCAGTGACATCCTGGTTGGCTTGCCCCCTCTCAGTTGAACCTCTGTGGAAATACCCTCATAGACATTCCCAGAAGTAACTCCGTTAGGTGAATCCAAACCAAACCATACAGATAATGAAGATTAATCATCACAACACCATCCCTTGTTGAACCAATAGACAAGCACATCACTTGCAATGATAGCATTCTATCCTGGGCCTTGAAATCTCCATCAGTCTCATGATGTAAAATGAATTCAGTCTAACTTCAAATATTTCCAACATTGTTCAAAAGTCTAAATAGAAGCTGGGAATGGTGGCACATGCCTTTAATCTGAACTCTAAGGAGACAGAGGCAGGTGGATCTCTGTGAGTTTGAGGCCAGTCTGGTTTCCATAGTGAGTCAAGTTCCAAGCCAGCTGGGACTACAGGGAGACCCTGTCTTAAAAATAGATACATACATGCACAGACACACAGATACACACACACACACACACACACACACACACACACACACAAGCCTAACTATAGTCTGTTCTGAGACTTAAGCAATGTCTTAAATGTGAGCCCTTGCAAAATAAAAATATATATTTCTTTTATATAAGGTCACAGAATAAATATCTCTATTCCTAAAGGGGTGAATGAGGGATAGCAAAGAAAGATCTAACCAGAGTGAGAGTGAGACCCAGCAGGGAAAACACCAAAAGTACTATATCTGGCATCTAGTACTTGTGATGGTCTTCTGGACTCCAGTGGTCTTGAGAAGCCCTAATTCTATAGTCCTACCAACCACCTGTAAAACGCTAAGCCTCTGGTTTGGGCTGGTTTCTCTCCTTGTCTGTAGTTTTCTTTGGTGGATGTCTTATAGC